AATTGTGGATTTGTTTGACAATTTGGATGCGTTGTCAAGCATGCACTTTGTTCCACGCAAGGCGAGTATCCTGTTCTTAGATCGCTTTTCTTATCATCCGCCCCTTTTGGTTGCTTTCAGTTTTTGCACCAAAAAAGTGCAACTTTTTTTCACTTTTTCGCAACTCACAATTTGCACCATGCTTATGTCCTCTGGTCAATTTTGGAACTCGTTTAAAAGAAATATCCGGGCGAAATGTCCGCATCGTGGCTCGTGTGCGCGCATCTTTTTACATCATTTCGTGCGTTTCGTTGTGAATTCAGCTTTTGGACTTACCTTTTCTTAATTATAACTATTAAACGTGTTCGACAGTTTGCACAAGTTTCTGCTCCTCAGTAGTGATTAATGCTCTGGCTCACTACTATGAAGCCTCCCTTTAGCAGGAAGCGAAGACTACCAACTAAAATTTACTTTCACAATACCCTACTGTGGAATTCTCGCATTATCTGTCTGGCTTCCTTTTTCTATGTAGTTACATGTTTACTTTTATCCAACGAATCCGACCTTGTAAAGTTAAATTGACTTCGTCCTTCACATTTTAAACCCCTTGGCATTGACTTGGCGTCCATATCTCGTCTGAAGACACTAACGCTTAAATACCTTAACATATATACTGTGGAAGAGACCTGCCCATTTTCAAGTGCTGTTATTTCACAATGCCTTGGTCTAATTTGGTTTCTTGGCTTGCAAAAATTTACAGCGTGTGGATGGCTACAACATTCTCACCAACAAACAAGCAGTAGCATTAGAAGAAGCAGGTCCAACAGCTCTGGCCGAAGGTGATCTGCTTGCACCGGAAGAAATTCTTGAACCCCGCGGCGAACCGCTCAAGGGAGCCACAGAAGTGACCTCCACGGATAGGCGACGTCATCGCAAGAAACTCATGCGTATCCGAGCGGCAAAGCGAAAAGTGCGTGACGCCATCGCAATCAAAACCAAGGACCAGAGGATAGCAATGGCTAAGATTGTCAAGATGGCTCATAAACCTGGCTCCAAAGTTAAGATAGCTAGATAATGCCTCACATCAAGTTGTATTATCTGTACATGAATACACGTCTGCTCCATTGCGTTTGTATATCTTGAGCAACTTTATCCCTTTATTCGGAAGACATTATGTACAAAGACAGGTGAGATGTAGGTGAATAATCAAGATGGCCTTCGGAACCACGCCTCCTCACAAAGCGTGGGATTCGGCTTCGTCATTGTGTCCAGGTAAACAAGGCAACGGTAGGCTGCGTCTCTTCGAGCTTCGTCTATGCTTGCACTGGGTCGACTGCATGTAACGTGGGGGGGAATTGTGGATAACTGTGCCTGACAGTAGATACTCCCTAAAATCATGTAGTGTATAGATAAGGATCACAAAATCCCGAACAGGTAACGTCGAAATAAGCTCACCGGACTTTGTATTTGTTGTATACGAGTAGAAGACACCGAGCTTGTTCGCCTCCAGCACCCGCTTTAAGACATCATATACATCAAAGTCTGGAGAGTTTAGCTCTTCAACATGAATTTCCTTAACCCTTCCATTAGCTGTGTGGAGGCCAGAAAGAATTTTTCTGGCCATTCTAGACGCCATTTCTTGACTGCTTTGCTTGACCTTTAGCTTGTTTAAATCCTGTTTTTCTACAAGGGGCAGATTCTCCTCTTCCATTGCCTCTAATGCATCTGTCGGAATAGTTAGTCCTTGCTCTACCACCTCTTTTAGAAATTCGGTCGCAGCCTTTCTTTTTGCCTCTTTTTTGGAGCTACCGAAACCCGAAAATTCCCAGCGCCAGAGACGGATTTTGCAATGATACTTGCCACCAAAAAGGTTTTGTGAGCATTCGCTAAATTCGTAAGTAGGTGGAGGCCACAAATTTTTGTCACAATATTCCTGAACCTTGCTGACATAATTGACGGGCGCTCGTGTAGCCGCTGCGTTCACCTCATCCTCACATGTGACAGCTAAGGAGTCGCCGACATCGATGCCGAGGAATGAGAGCGATGCACGCATCGCCTGCAAGAGGGCTCTATCTCCCTGAGATGGTGGATCATCACCGATGAGTCTTAAGAGTACATAGTATGCCGCCAAATGCTTCGCCTTCTTCTTGCTTGCACCTTAATAGTATAAAAATAGTAAACCGGTTAAGAATAAGTAAGCAATTGAAATTGCACATGTAGACACAAAGGCATTAAAAAATGCTACTCTTTTGGAGCGAACACTAGCAGGTTGCCATACCCTTCCCAAAGGCAGTAATTTTGCCAACTCTGCATTGGTACACATAAATAGGTTCATGTGCCTCGCCTTCGCTTGCAACAAGCTCGTAGTGGACAAGAAAACCCCTTTTTGTAGCAGTCTCTTGTAGAATGCCAATTGGCGTCTGACTGGAGGGTGAATACATTTAATGTATGAAGTACAAATCAAACACCGTCGTGGAGTTTGCCAACATATGATTGGTCAAAGATGCTACCCAATAATAAGCTAGTTAGGTTTTGCGCGAATTTCGCATTACATTAGAAGTACAGGACCTGGCAGTCACCTAGCTTGAATTCCACATTTTAAATCCAAGTTTATGCGCCATATAATAATTCAAGCTTTTATTCCTAAGGGCACAATACAAATTGTTAAAATCAAAGTTATTCATTATTTTGTGTGTATATGGTTTTGCAACTGCTTAATATATACTTTACGATGCCGAACTGTAATTGTCCTCTTACTTTATTCAGATGGACATGACACCCTGCTTATGAAACCATCAACTATGATGTACGCCTAGTC